ATTTGGGAACTGAAAACGGCGCCAGCCCCTTCCGGCAGGGCCTTGAATCAGCTCGCCTCTTGTGAGCTCACATGCTGCCATTTCCCTTGCAGACCCAGCATGGCCGCCCAAGGAGAGCCCCAAGTGCAGTTTAAGGTAAGGGAGTGGTTCGGGTTCGTTATTGTTTTCTTCCTTCAGTAGAAAAGTAGTATGAGCAACTCGTGAGTGCCAGCGTGGATGGTAGGTTTGGTTTTGAAGAGCTGGTCTTATGCTTAACAGTGCAGTTAATTTACTGTAGTACAGTATGTAACTTGTACAAAAAGATCGTGTTGCACTGTGTCAATCTGGTGCTACTTGTAGTTTAGTGTAATAAATTTTAGTAATAACTTGCCTATAGAAGGATTTTTAAATTTCAGGAGTAAAATTCACAACGAAAAGTGCTTAGAGTAAATTAGAATAGTCAGTTTTCTGCTGTGTATTAGTTGTTTAGGGGAAGAAAACTTAAAATGTTTCAGAACAGAGTTTTCTGGTGTTTTGTGTGGGGACTTTTTTTGTTATCTTAACAGCCAGAAGTCCTTGAGACTGCTTCATTAAAGGTTGTTACTTGTGTTTCTTGCAATACTGGGTTAGTTGTTAGTAGTGCAGTTGTTTGGGGTTTTTTGTTCCTTTTTTTAATTGCAAGATTACAGTGGATTTCCCCACTTTGGGTGCTGAAATGAGTTTTTCTCTAAATATGGTCGTATTTAATTGAAAAGCCCAAATATTCTTAATGTATTCACTTGTAGTTTAGTAGAACTATATTCACAATGCATTGTAGTTGTTAGCTATAGAAGCTGGATAAGTCTGACTTAAGTTATAGCATGAGAAATGTCACAATTTGCGTCCCAGTACAGTGAGTCACTTCATGGTGAATTCAGTCTTTTGTTTACAGCATCTTGTAGGACTAAGATCTTTGTAGCAACAATTAGTATTTACACTGAAATTATCAATTAATGTCTCTAGAAGTGTATTGCTCTGACTTTTTTGCCTTTATCTATCAACAGCTTGTCCTGGTTGGTGATGGTGGCACTGGTAAAACAACATTTGTAAAACGCCACTTGACTGGTGAATTTGAAAAGAAGTATGTAGGTATGTCTGAAGAAACATCTGAAATCTAATATGCTACAATTAGAAGTGCGATTCATGACTCGCTAAGTGCACTGCTCTTTCTTATTGCTATAGCAACGCTGGGTGTCGAAGTTCATCCTCTGGTGTTCCACACTAACAGAGGCCCTATTAAATTTAACGTATGGGACACAGCTGGCCAAGAGAAATTTGGTGGCCTGCGAGACGGCTATTACATCCAAGGTAAGATGTGTGTATGCATTGTAAGGTTGTGTGCCTCTCACAGTTCAGTCTTTCATTCTGTTAATGTTAGCCACTCTGAAAGCTGTCAGCGTGGCTTGTAGTTATGAGCTGCTTTCTGAGTTTTCAAACTCTTCGTGTAGATAATTTCCCTTGCTAGGCAACTGCATCGATGTGGGGAAAATTCTAAGATTGTGTTCCAGCATGATATTGTAGGCTTTGATATTAACAAAGAGTAATGGTGCACCTTACATGACAAGGTATTGCTGATGAAATTCAGTCGCTAGGAGTTGAAAGTATGTGCTTAAGTTATTACAAACTTATACCTGTATTAACATACTGTGCTGAGGCAAAGGTTCGGAACACAGAAGCTGTAAAACTGTAGTTTTGATGAAGAAGCTGTACGTCTCCGTGTCAGAGTCTAGTTGTCTTTCTAAAGAAGTACTGATAGTGTCCGTTACTTCTGCTTGGCCAAGCTCTGTTCTCCATGTACTTCAGTTACCTGCATATCTTTCAAATTTTGAAAGGGATTATTAGAGTTTGACATTGTTGCTTTTCCTTTAGAAGTATCAGGATCAAGTCAAGCCCCTCTGTTCTTGAAAAACTGTTCTGGACAAGGGCATCCTGAGATGAGGACTACAAGCTCTCAACCTAAACGAAAGCCTCAATAGAATATCTGAGATTAGTTAAATAGGTGTTAACTGATCTCTTTCGGTACTAATGTAAATCAAAGTTGAGTTTTTTTAGTCCTTGTATATTCTCATAGTATGCAACACCATGTTACTCAGTGGGACAGTTGCCTTGATAAAACTAGCTGGTGTTTAAGATTGGGCACTAAAGATGTGAGATGACAGGGTCATGGACTGAGTTCTGTGGACTCCTGCATTGAAATTATTAACAGAACTTATGCTCTCAGAACTGCGAGGCTGAGAGGGGAAATAATGCAGATGCCTAACCCTAATGTGGGATTTCTGTGGATACCTCTTCTATCTTCCATCTTAGAAGCAAGTGCTTACTCTCCTGATGTAACTCCTGACTGTTATTTTCTTGCAGCTCAGTGTGCCATCATTATGTTTGATGTAACATCAAGAGTTACGTACAAGAATGTACCTAATTGGCACAGAGATCTGGTACGAGTATGTGAAAACATCCCTATAGTGTTGTGTGGCAACAAAGTGGATATTAAGGACAGAAAAGTCAAGGCAAAATCCATTGTTTTCCACAGGAAGAAGAATCTCCAGGTATGTTGGTATGAGTTTGTAGGAATTTAATTTATTGAGTCTGTTGACTGCAGTTGGGTTCTATGCAGTAATCGAGTGTTCTGCCTTTGTCACTGCAGGCTATGATATTTTAACTTTAAATCCTGTTTGCTGCTTGGACCTAACTTCAGGGAAGGGGGATGTGATGATGTTGAAGGTGATAATCAGTGATCTTGAGCAGGAGCTATGATAAGCTCTTAGAGAGCTAGAGTGCATTTGGCTTTCACTGCTCAGTGTCTCATCAGATGACCCGGAAGTGAGACTAAAGTTGATCAAGTCACAGAAAGATAGATGCACTCTTGCCTCCTGAAAGTTCCATCTTTGGTCAAATTGCATACCTTTTCAGTTATCAGTCTCTGCCTATTTGTCTGAAACTGCATGTTTTTAGACACTTAAATCGTAACTGTTTGAGAGTGTGAACAGAAGTCATGCAGTCAAAAAGAATACCAAGGTAAAAGTAGAGCTGATTGTGTGTGTGTATTAATCTTGATATGCCCTGAGTATCAGAGGTGTCCTTTTAAATAGTGTATAATATATGCTTTTTTTCAGTATTATGACATTTCAGCTAAGAGTAACTACAACTTTGAGAAGCCTTTCCTCTGGCTTGCTAGAAAGCTCATTGGAGATCCTAACTTGGAATTTGTTGCCATGCCTGCTCTTGCACCACCTGAAGTTGTTATGGACCCAGCACTGGCAGCACAGTATGAGCAAGACTTACAGGTAAGTGAGGAAAGGCACAAAAGTCAGATGATTGCCTGATAACTAGTGTTTGGACTCCTGGGGCAAATAACTGAAGAGCAGTTCTTAAGTGTAACTTCTCTGTTCCAGATTGCTCAAACCACTGCACTGCCAGATGAAGATGATGACCTGTGAGGGATGAAGCTGGAGCCCAGCGTCAGAAGTCTAGTTTTATAGGCAACTGTCCTGTGATGTCAGTGGTGCAGCGTGTTTGCCACTTTATTATCTAGCTGAGCAGAACATGTGCTTAATCTTTGGGATGCTGAAAGAGATGAATGGGCTTCGGAGTGAATGTGGCAGTTAAAAAAAAAAAAAGAAAAAACAACAAACAAAATTAAAAAAAAAACCTAAACAAAAACCTTCATATTTTGGACCTGCATATTTAGCTGTTTTTTGGACTGCAATTACTTCCCCTTTTGAGTTTCAAATATAAGACTGCTGCAGTCACATCAGAGTGTTAAGTGGTAAATCTTGTTTCTGTCATTCCCATTCTTTTTTGTTCAGATAATAAAGTTGTATTTCAAGTATCTCTAAGCAAGTGAACTTTTATGCATTGTTAAAAAAACTTTCAGAGTGTCTTCTGCTCTTCAATTGAGGCTAATACTTGGTTGTCTACTGCATTTCTCTGTTCTCCTTTTTCCCCTCCTGCTTCTCATGTTATGCTCCTCTTGCTAAACTAGCACTAACAGTTAACCTTCCCTTGATTTTTCTGAAGCATCTAATTAAAGCACCTGAGGAAAGCTGAACTAACTCCCAGGTAAACTGAAGCAGTGAACACTTGACTGGTAAGTGTGACTGGATCAACATTCCCATGCAAACGGGAATGTTTGCAGTCTGTAGGGTGTCTTGAGAGAAAAGTATGTAGTTCAGCTCGTGTACGCTACCATTAGATAGAGTATCTCAACTCTTAACTTAATATGTTACACAATACGCCTTCACAGAGCTCTGTATTTTTAGTAGCCAGAAACAAATGGCATCTAGGTCTGTTAGGTGACTTCAAAAGCTGTATCTTTGCATGGAACATCATTCAGTAGAGCTATAGCTGATAAATTCTAAGCATCTCAAAATTCACTAACTAGAAAACGGCTGTAGCTTGAGCTAAAAAGCTCTTGGCTTCAAAACAGCATATTAAACCACATTTACATAAATATCTAGACTTTACTGTAACTGCACCAAGTTCTTAATTTGAAACTCTAGCTTACTACAGCACAAATAGTGGAAAATGTCAACTTTTAACACTATCTTGTAGAGATTAATCTTGGTCAATATTAGGGCTGCTAGTGAACAAAACTTTAAGATACCATTTTTCAGTAGTGTTTGAGTACATGAAGCCTTGAACTCTTCAGTTTTGTATTTTTGGTTTCTTAATAAAGTGGAGCATTTCATTTATTCCTTTTAACTTGGATGTTTGTGTATATAACTCCTACTTGAATATTTAACTATTCAACTCTTCTGGTACATGGTAGCAAAAAGTGTGGACTATGATTATTCTGCAGTACTGTTGCAAAGGAATCATTTTTAAGTCAGTGCAAGTTGGAGTTCTGTGGGGTTTTTCGTGTGTTTTTTTTTAAGCTAGTCAATGAGAAGCTGAGTTGTACTTAGGACCTGAAACTCATTAATGAAAATAAGGAATGTCATATGCTTGGTTTGTAAAAAGACAAACTCCCACTTAAGGTGACATTGAATCTCCTTGCTGCATCGTCTTGTGTTAACTTCATGTTGTGGGTTCCTGCCTGTAGTGTTTACTAATTCATCTGTGCAGATCGCGGTTAATGCTGCTGGCTTCACTGTCTGCTGCTGCTTTTCTAGGTGTGATAGCTTTTTTTTGTCTTCAAGGTGTCTCACTTCTGAAAATGCACCACTTAAACAAATTGATTTAGAAAACTTCAGTAGTGACCAAGTACTGATATGCCTTAAGAAGAAGCAGCAGCACTGGAGTTACAATTGCATTGTTTCATAGTGTATATGTCATCTTTACAACTTGTCTGCTGCACACAGGTGCTAGCCTTAGTATGAATTCCTACAAAACGGCTGAAAAGCCTTATGGAAAGTGAAATGTCTGTTTAAAAACGAGTATTAACTGCTATGAGCTTTGCTTTGTAACCTTCAGCGTTACTTCAAGTTCATGAAAACTCATCTCTGAAGTAGTTGGTAATACTATCCCTGCTGTAAAGTAATCTCTTCAACTTGAAATGTGGGAGTGGAATTAAGTCCACTTGTTGCAGCTTTATACTTTGTCACATTTAGTCTCTGTTAATTGTTGATTATAAATAATTTGGGTAGCTTTAATACGTATGTGCAGATTCCTCAGTTGAAGTTCCTTAACTATAACACTTCTAAGAAGTTTTTCATTAGTTGGGTTTAGGAAAAATAAAATTATCTATTTAGTTAAGTAATGATGAAAATAAAAGTTGTGTTCGAAGAAGCTCTGTACTAAATAGTCAATCAGCCTGTCTTGGAGCTCTGCTGTTATCAGGACTGAATTGATGAGGCGGAAATCCTTTGTTGCAGTACCTGGTGTTTGTTGTTCTGCTCGCTTGACTGTTGTGCAGTTAGAACAGATTCGTTGTAGGAGTTCTTGTGTTCCCCACACGCGCTTTTGTGAGTTTTCCCACACAAAGATACCTGGTTTCAGATTTCTTTTTAGTAACTTATAGACCATGCTCAGCATTAACTTTGAACAGCAGGATGAGGTGCTGGCTTGTTTGCTGTTCCCAGGTCTGTGATGGAGCTTTGAGGTTTCGGTTTCTAAGCCCAGAGGGTTGTATTGGAAGAGCAGTTAGAGAGCCAGTGCATGTGCAAGATAAGCAAGGGAAAAGTATTAGTTCAGGAAACTGACAGGAAATGTTCTGCTACTTCTCACTCTGCCTTTAAATGAAGGTGTGTTAAAGAGACCCCCTTAGGAAGGGCAGGATCTCTTGGGATTTCAACAGAGTCTTTTTAGAAATAATGGAGAATGCTTCTCTACAACACATGAGAATCTGTATGCCGAGAACGTTCAAGTCCGTCCCTCTTGTACCTGCAAGTTACATTAGAACAGAATTTTTGTCTTTTTCCTGTAGAAATGGTTCTGTTCTGTTGCTAATACAGTCCTAATCTCAAGCGATGAACAAAACGGTGCAGAGACAAATTTTTCTTCTGTATTCACCTTCCTAAACCAAATACATTGTTTGATTGAAGGCAGTTGTTTTCGTGATCTGGATCGATAGTACTGGTTGTTTCCTCTCACCTCAGTTTTTGACAATGGTTTATTAGGTTCTCCTAAACCAGGATTGTTAGCAATGTCTTACGAGTAACTGAAAAGCTGAATCTGCTGCTGCTTTGATCAGTTTGTTTTCACATGGATGTGTTAATTTATGGACTGGTTTCGTGTGTATGTGTTTTTACACAGAGCAGAAAAGTTTGCCTTTGAGAATCATTTTTTCCTAGCACAAGCTGCTGTGTGAGCATCCCATGAAGGAGTTTTCTTGTATGTGTCCTGTAACATGCGTGATCATCTCTGCAAGTGGCCAAAATGGGGAAGCGTTTTCAGCTGGGGACTCGCGTTGGGAGATTATGAATGACTATGCTGTTGTAGGCTAGTAGCTTTTTCAGAGAGCATCCTGGTCGTAGCACTGGAAATAGCTGCAATGATTCTGAGTCTTCGTTGCCCTCTGCCTTGTTTGTAACTGACCTTATGGTGCAAGTTATTGCCTTCAGCAAAGAGAGGCAAAAAAACCCAAACAAAAACCAAACATTCTTCTTTCTGATTTAGAACTTGACTGTCTGACAAGTAACGTAAAGTTAAACTTCAAGAATTTTATTCTTGAAAGAAAGGCTTAATATCATAGCCTGTTTAACAGACTTGGTGGGACTTGCTGATGAGCCAGACCATAGCCTCTTTATGTACCTAGTAATTGAGTAACTGTAGGAATGTTGAAACATAGGGTGTGTTATTTATACCAAGGCTCTAGCACAGAGCCTGAATCTTAGGTTCTAGATTTAAGTGTACAAGGCAAATACTTTTAATACTTTTAATTGGGTTGTGTGGGTAATTCTCACCTAGTTCACCAAGTGAATGGATTGTTCAATAAGTGAATGTCACCTCCCCAAAATTCCGGTGTTCTACAAGCTGCGTTGCCGAAATGGGCCACTGTTCTTATTAGGGCACTAGTTCAGTATAGGAATAGGTGGTTTGAATTTTGAGTAGTCACAATTATGTCTGTCTTGCTGTGATCCTGGAATTCTGTGATGAAAAGAATCAGATTCCCGTATTTCTACTACTTTCTTGAGGCGGGGGGGGAGGGGGGAATGGAAATATGAGGACAAACTTTCTCAAATAATGTTTTAAATGGAATTTCGCATTTTATATAACATTACCAAAAGTTTTAATGTATGATCCACTATCCCTGAAGTCGTTGTTCTAATACATTTGATGCAAGCATTCAAAATTGAATTTCATCAATGTAGTACTGGGTTACTGGCAGGCAGTGAGCTTAGTTTACTCTGCCTATTTGCAGATTGATGCTTATGAGGACTGAAAAGGACTGCTAAAACAAAAACTAAGTGTGAACTAAACAGTCATAAACAGGAAGCTCTTAAGGTGGTTGTGATAACATGTAAGAAGAAAACTTAAACCAGTGTCTTTCCTGTTAATCGTCTGACAGAATCACCGATTTTACTCTGAAGTATCAGGATCTTTCTTGAGAGAGATATCTAAGTCTTCTGTACAAAGCATTAAGCTAAAAATAGCAAATCAAGGGAGTAAAATAAATTATTCTTGTTTGCTTTTAACTTCTTTTTCAGGTAAGAGCTTGCACGAGCCAGTACCGCAGTCAGATTTCCCAGTTGTGATACTAATTCGTATTGCTGCTGCTTTTACAAGCTTTTGCTACACAAAACCAGTGGTTATGCATCTTGGTGTCTTTTGAAAATAGTGCTGGAGGGAAGCAAGGTGTGTTTTGCTTATACTGAGAAGAGAACAGTTACCTTTCCTGTCATGCTTTTTGGATGGATTACATCATAAAAAAAAAAACCAAAACGTTAAAGTTTCCAGATCTTAGGTTGGGTTTGTGGGGCAAGTATTTGGGGAAATACCTCAAGCCAAAGAGGGTTCCTTTTGTAAATAAAAAGGTGGGTCATTAAACAAGAAATCTCTGCCTGCATTTTTTTGGCATTATTCATTGCCTTTTGCTTCTGGATCTCTGCATCTAGTATTTTTATTTTGTATTTGGGTCTGGGCATTTTGTTTTATTTGAATATGTAAGTTCACATCTAGCTGTAAAACACTTCAAACTCTAGCAGATGAATCCAGTAATTCTTCAAAGATTATGTGTACAAGAGCTGTTTGAGACACATCTGCCAGTCAGAAGTGCAGAAGTTGTCGCTGGGTACAGGAGGCTTAAACGGGATGAAGGAAGTTCTTGGCTCACAAGAGCAAGTCTGGTACAGCTTAAACCCAAAAATCTTCGTTGTGGAGATCGAATGGTTAATGCGTTATTCTTTTCTCTCGCTAGCTGTGTGCAAGCAGACTGTGTAGCACCCGAGACAGG